ATATTATAGACCTGTATTCTAGATAGTATGCCATACAGACATTTTATTTACATTTTAATTTATCAATTTGCAGCTGTGTTCGAAAAATGTACGTGAAAATTGAAATCACTAGCGCTCACATTCAATGCGTAAAAAACAAGGTCGTTCACGTTCACTTTTTTGTATGCAAAGGAACGTTGCAAGAAACATGTTAAGAGAAAAAGGTCGTACCTGCTGTTGTATCCGTCTTACTAGGTGTGCGGCGTGCCGCTCCTACTTTTAGAAATCGCGGTTAGCGACAACGACTCGCGCAATGCTGTGGACGGGAAGGAGCAAACTCACACTATATTATCTCGTAAAAATATTGTTATTAGTTTAATGCGAAATGACGCGATATATATATATATTTATAATAACGCTAAAGGTACATACAAACATGAATATAAATAAATGTAGGCGCCGTGGGCCGGTCACCACGCGCTACAACCAATAATAATAAATGATAAATAATTACAATAATTATAATAAATATATGAACAATACATAAGTAGTAAATAATAGATATAATATGACCTGATCGACACCTCCGGCGTTGGTCACTGGACAGCACGCGGTCCTCGCTGGAAATGCGACAGCGTCTTGATGTAGGTATAATTTAATTCGGTGGTGGGCCGCGAATGGATATCGCAGACCAGTGGCGGACTGGGAGATTGTCAGCCCAGGGGGAAATACAGCTTAGGGGCTCTAAATATTTTACTATATTATTACTATTTCAGTTGTGATTTTATAAATAATATGAATGTTTTATTACTATAATTTAAAATAAATGTAAATTTTACTTGTAGAACTATTTTTAAAAAAAAAGGTGGGCAAGTGGGTGTCGCTCTGCTGTAAGGTAGGTTACAAGTGGGTCACTGTATAATGGATGATATTAAATTTGAATTCAACGATATAATATCATTGTATAAGAAAAACGATTCTGAGCGGAGACGGTATGTCAGTCTAGGTATAAGACATATTATATACATATCAATAATACTAAACCAAAATTGTACCTATAAAGGTACCTATAATAAATTCCAAATTAATCATATCACAATATCCATTAGGTACTTATAACGCGTTATACATCAACAAAAACCGTGATACTATCATAGATATATAATAGTACACTTTAGAAGTTTCAAGTACCCACGAATAATATTATTCAATCACAACTAAATAACTAAAATAGTTATTCTAGGTTTTTTAATATGTGATTTCGTCCAAATTTGAATTTAAAATGTCTGTAAAAAATAACTGTGTTCATATATTTTTTAGATTTTTTGGTTACAGTATGAACTATTTATGAGAACCTTTGTTTTAAATTTGCAATCCTTAGCTATAAAAACTGAACATTTTATAATTTATTAATTACAATGATTGATAATTTTCGAGATTTTGATAAATTTTGTCAAAATTCGATCTTTAAATGCTTATAAAAAAAAACTGTGCATATGTATTTTTAATATTTTTCAACTGATATTGTAACAATATATCAAGAGAATTGTATTAAATTTTTTCACTCTTTGGCCCAACAGATAAAACTTTATTGATATTTATAGAAAAAAAAACTAAAAAAGATTGAAAGCTGTAAATGTCCATAAACAGCTCAAAAAGAGTAAAATATTTTCAAAATTGTATGGTGTATAGGAAATGATAATATAAACATTCAGTGAAATTTTCATGTATCTACAGTTATTCGTTTTTGAATTACAACAAAATAAGGAAATCGCTACATGAGAAATTGAGTGAACATCCAATGTTGTAAAAATTTGAATTTCAAACGCTCATAAAAATTTAATTTGACTTTTTGGTAGAGATGTTTTTATTGATAAAGGTAGATAAACTTATGAGTAATCTTGTATTACATTTTCAAATCTTAGATTTAAAAAGAAAAATTTTTACGAATTCTTAACTCAAAATAATTCGCTAATTTTCGTGATTTTTCCATATTTTTACAATTTTTGAACTTTAAATGCTTATACAAAAAAATTGTGACTAAGGATTTTTAATATTTTTCATCTGCCTTTGAAACAATATATTAGGAGCCTTCTATTAAATTTTCAAGCTTTCGCAACCAACAAATATTTTATTGATATTTTTAGAAAAAAAACTAAAAAAAAATGGAAAATGAAAATGTCCCTAAACAGTTCAAAATAAATCAAATATTTTGAAAATGTTATCGTGTATATAAAATGCAAATATAAACAGCCAGTGAAAATTTCATGTATAGACGTTCATTTCTTTTAGAGTTACACCAAAAACCAAAATCGATTTTTTGGAAAACCGATTTTGCGTAAAAATTCCCGTTTTTCCTTAATTTTTATGTTGTTTTTCCCGGCGCTTGTGAAAACTACTAAAAGTTTACTAAATTTTTATTTTTGAGCTAGAAAAGCTACTGTTGAAGAAAATCCAAGCACTTTTACTGTTCTTAAACGTGATGACAGACACAAAAATAAAAAAAATTGATTCTATGAATTGATTGTATGAAATATTCTTGAAAACAACTAGGGTGTAAAAACTATGCATCAGCTATTAATTCTTCAACGACCGGCCCAAATTTCACAATTTAGACAGGCCCAGGGGGATATTTCCCCCTAGCCCCCCTGGCCAGTCCGCCCCTGCGGGATGGCGATCAGTATGGTAGTTTATCAGTCACGGAGGAGTATCCGGAGTGTACGAAGCAGTGGACGCGGGCGTGCCTGTACTAGGATTCCCGTTTTTCTACGATCAACCGAGAAATGTTGATAACTTGGTAGCCGCCGGGATGGCGATCAGTATGGACCTGTTATCTGTCACTGAAAAGACGTTGTTAAACGCTGTTTTTGAGATTGTCAACAACGACAGGTGAACAATTTTATGTCTTTCAATAAAATTTCATAACAATGCTCACTAAAACTCTATGTGTACAGGTATCAGAAAAACGCTAAAATCGCTTCCAGACGGTTTAAAGACCGACCCATGTCACCCGCGGAGTCGGTGGTTTACTGGACGGAGTACGTTTTGCGTCATAAAGGAGCGCCACATTTAAAATATCACGCTATGAATCTGACATGGTATCAATACTTTTTGGTTGACGTAATTAGCACAATTTTATTCATTGCTTTTTTCGTCTCGTTCATAATATATTATGGCCTAAAATTGATTTGGAAGCACATATCCAAATTTTTCCATACTGTCAAATCAAAACGTGAATAAAATAAAATTATACAAATAATAAATGTTTTAATTGTTCAAAATAATTTATAGATACATTATACATAATAATTATAATCGTTATATTTTCCTTGTTATTGGTGATTATTTGTATTGAGTATAGTAAATATTTTACTTAAGATTCAATGTATCTACGGAGATTTTCCATACTTAAATATTGAATAAATATTAATATAAATCGATTATGGTAAATACCAATAATGTGTGTACATTTTAGAAGGTTAGGTAAATTGATTCACGTGTGTAAGAAGTTAGTAGGTAAGTTGGGTCCCGGCTATAAACCCACTTACCTACCTAGTTTCAAAGTTCGGGCTGGAATCATATTATAGCGGTACATCTTCCGGACGAAAATTAATTCTACTCACCGAAAGATCAAGAAACAAATAATAATGACGGTGAATGGTGATAGTGTGTCTGTGTATAACCAGCTATACATACCTCGGTCTTTTCTCAAAAAATGAGATAAGTAACGTAATGTCGAAACTTTATACGTATATGTACACGTGTACATATTATAATATACTTATTGTGTATCAGCTATCAACAATTATGATGATGATTATCATTACTCACAGACACACGTACGATATCTGTGCTATATTTCACTATATTATTTTTAATAGCCTTCTGTATATATTTCATAATTTTTAAATATTTTCCCCTATGACTAGATAACAAACATTGGCAACGCTATTGCTACGACGACGGCGGCGACCGTGATTCTGAATTTAATATAAATTTCTATTGAAAAGTTCACACTTTTTCATTCATAACTTAATTTCTAAAGGCACGATTTTTATGATTTTTACAAAAGCACATTCTACACAATATTTCTAATGTTTTGGAGTTTACTAGGAGTTAATTGATGCATTAGAAAATTAGTTATGTCGTATAACAAATTTACCCGTATTTTACTCAGTTTAAATAGGCAACTCCTGCTGCTTCGATATAATACACACCCACGGTCGTACAGTTTTTTTTTTTTACTTAGTTCATGCCACGACCATGTCGCTGGATATATTTTATGTATATAATAAAGATTATGACGATAGCACTTTTGTTATCCAATAAATATAAAGAGTGACTATCATTATTCATTACAGTACTTAGAAATAAATCATTGTTTCTTTTGTGAAAGATTAAAAAAAAGCAATTATCTTTTCATAAGTGGTCTAAAGTTTGTTAAGTATAATACAGCGTAGAAGCTTGAGTATTTCACAGTTTTATGCGATTCATGAAATCGGCCACATTGTGTTCCTTATACGTTTGTACGTAGATTATAGGTGCTTACGAACATTTTAGTGCTCCAGTAAATATTCAACATTTCATAGGTGAGTAACGAGTCAATTAATATTATATAGTTAAACTCACATTGCATGCATATTTTAAATGAATAAAACTCACAAAAAATACAGTCAAATACGTTAAAAACTGCAAAAACTATGAATTTAAAACGATTGAAAAACATTATTTTCATTACAATTTCAGAAAAAAATACCAACGAAAACGTGCTAATCACAAATTCTGAGAAAAGTCTATTTCGAATTTCAAATCTTATTTCATGTTGCTATTATAATTTTATTATTTGAAATTTGAATTAAAAAATTAAGTGAGCATTTTCGACGGTATACCAATATTTAATATTAATCAAATCAAAACCGACACGTCCACCGCATAATATACCAATTACCTGGTCATTCAGATTATATTTTCCAGTTAAATAATTTAAAATTGTACCTCAGAAAACAACAACTGGAAAAACCATGTCGAGTTTCGTGACGGTGTTGATTGCGTTTTCCGCATTTTCCACACTAATCCAGTGGACGCCGGTCGATGCCGCGAACATACTGGCGGTGGAGACAATCCCGGGCAAGAGCCACTGGAACGTTATGCGATCCGTGCTGAGGGCTCTGACGGAACGCGGCCACACGGTCACCGTGTTCACGCCGTTTGTGGACGGCGATCGGGATGGTTACATGGAGGTTGATGTGTCCGAGCAAATGGTACCGGTCGTGGGCGCTAACTTGACATACCTGATGGAAACATTCGGACACAAGCGATTATTTGTTTCGTTCGCAGCGAACGTAACTCGGGCGGATTGCGACAAAATTCACGAACACCGACTGATGGTGGACATCATGAATGGAGTGACGGAGCGGAAATTCGAGTTGGTCATCACCGAACCGTTCATGTCTGAGTGCGTGGCATACGTGGCCTCTGTGCTCAGCGTGCCAATGGTTTACGTGGTACCGACGCCCATCTCCACGTTCCTGGAACGTCCGCTGACCGGACACAGCCCAAACCCGGCGGCCATCAGCCACGTGCTGTCCCGCCGAGGCGTTCCTAGAACGTTCACCGAGCGTTTTGCCAACGCGATGCTGACGGTGTACTGTTCGCTACTCATGTGGTACGCTGAGCGTCAGCACCAGATGGACGACCCGCGACCGTACGACGCCGTGCACCTGGTAAAACCGTCGCTGATTTTATCCAACACGCACTTCATTACCGAACCGGCTAGGCCGCTGACGCCGGACGTTGTAGAAATCGGCGGCATACATCTCGCCCCTCCCGAACCGATACCGAAGGTAATTATTTGTACGACGCCACTCTTGAATTTACTGTTTCTAGCTCTGCAATGATATTATAGCTTCAATATAAAAAGGAATATAGGTCAGCTGTCAAATTTAGAACCAGATTCCAGGGTAGACATATTTGTGTTTTCAAAATAAAGTACATCATGACTTGAGGAGCTTTTTTTGGCTCACATTACAAATTGTAAATATTTAGTGCCACACGCCCACACCACTAGTTAGTTTAGGTTACCGAATACCGATACCATTATAATAGAACAGAACGCTATAAAAACAACAATTTTAACCATGATATATATCTTTCAGCCCTATTTTTTCAAGGTTAAGGAATAGGATATTATTGGTTCCCAATTTTTTAGAATATTTTTTATGATAGAGAGTAAATTAATCGTATGTAGGAACATTATCAATATATACAAAATAAAAATGCTCGTTATTTGGTAAAAAAAAAACCAACGTTTTGAATTCTTTTGTATGGTTATTAAAACTAATGACACAATATTGTAGATTCTGGCATTGCAAACTTGCAATGGTTTACGTTTATAAGATGGTTAGACAGAAACAACTCATATGTTATAATTTATATTATGTATGTGATGGAACATGCATACATCGTGATAATTAGATCACAATCAAGCAAATATTCTTTTCCGATCACTTTTCGTATGTTTGAACTATGACATATTTAACATTATTTAGTGTATTTTCATTTTTGTGCAACTTACTGTAGGTTCACTTGTTCCCAGGATATATTAGAATTCATCGACGATGCGCCTCAGGGGGTGATTTACTTTACGTTCGGTTCCGTGGTTTCCATGTCGACGTTACCGGAAAACGTACAGATCGCGTTCAGAGAGGCTCTCGCTAGCGTCCCACAGAAGGTGTTGTGGAAATACGAAGGTGAAATGGAGAACAAACCGAAGAATGTGATGACGCGGAAATGGTTTCCACAACGTGACATCCTCTGTAGGCCCTCAGATATAATAAAACCATATTCATGGCATAATTTCTTAACTTTTAAGTTGTATTATTTATGGTGTATTAATTTTAAAACGTTACGTAATCTTTCTTTATTGTTTAGTGCACCCCAATGTGAAACTTTTCATCAGTCATGGAGGTATATCCGGAGTGTACGAAGCTGTGGACGCAGGCGTTCCTGTAATAGGATTTCCTGTTTTCTTCGACCAACCGAGAAATATTGACAATTTGGTTGACGCTGGGATGGCGATCTGCATGGACTTGTTATCCGTTACTAAAGAAACGTTTTTGAATGCCGTTTTGGAGATCTTCAACAATGATCGGTGAGCAATTTTAGGTCTTAAATAAAGTGTACAAAAAACCTGAGAACAGATGAATAGTAGATATCTGTTAAAATATATTCATGAATTATTTATTATTAATAAATTATTTACCGAGTTTGCGGTAAATAAATTTGTTAGCTACAATTAGTTTTGTTAAGGTTAAACTTTCAACTTTTCAAATTTGGTTTCTGTTTGAAACCGAAAACTACTCTGGCGGTAAATTGGTAGAAGGAGAATACTAAACTTATAAAACATAAACATTATTACTGTCGTATAGATATAGAATGATACTATTTACCGAATAGACAGAAAAGATAGTAGGTATACTAATCATTTATCAAGAACGAAATATTTCGACTTATATTGTGGTATTATAGATATTTTTACATTAGGTTTTTCTTGCTGTAATAATATAAATTTAAAAATTTAAACATTTTGAACCTATACATTTATTTTATTTGAGAAAAAAATTTGATGTACCATATTCGTCACATTTTTTGGGGGCCCAATTCAAGTGCACTCAAAAAAATAATACTCATCTCTGTATGTTTATTCTTTTACAGGTATCAAAAAAACGCCAAATTGGTTTCAGTACTGTTCAAAGACCGTCCCATGTCACCTGTGGAATCAGTGGTTTTCTGGACAGAATACGTTTTACGTCATAACGGAGCGGCACATTTAAAATCTCAAGCTTTGAATCTGAAGTGGTATCAATATTTTTTAGTTGATGTAATTAGCACATTTTTGTTCATTGTGTTTATCTTTTTTTTTATAATTTATTATGGCCTAAAAATGGTTTTTAAATACATTTTTAAATATTTCCATATTGTGAAAGCAAAACGTGAATAAAATAAAATAATTGTATGATCATAAATAAGGAATATGGTACCTAATTGTATTATTAATAATAGTAGTTTTTTTTTTATAAGCATTTAAAGTTCAAAAATTTACAAAATATGGAAAAATCAAGAAAGTTAACAAATTATTTTGAGTGAAGAATTCGTAAAAATTTTTCTTTTTATATCTAAGATTTTAATATATAATACAAGATTCCTCATAAGATTATCTACCTTTATCAAAAAAAAAAAAAAGTCTATAAGAAAGTCATATTAAATTTTTATGACCGTTGGAAATTCAAATTTTTATAACATTGGATATTCACTCGATTTCTCATGTAGCGATTTCTTTATTTTGTTTTAATTCAAAAACGAATAACTGTAGGTACATGAAAATTTCACTGAATGTTTATATTAGTATTTCCAAAAATGTATAAAATGTTCAACTTGTATAACTAAGGATTGAAACTTTAAAAGAAGATTCCACTTAAGTAGTTTATTCTGTTACCAAAAAATCTAAAAAATACATAAGCGCAGTTTACTTTTATAGTCATTTTAAGTTCAAATTTGGACGAAATTACATAATAAAAGACCTAGAATAACTATTTTAGTTATTTTGTTGTGATTGTATAATATTATTCGTGGGTACTTGAAACTTCTAAAGTACACTATTACATATCTATGATAGTATCAGGGTTTGTTGTTGAAGTATAAGTGTATAATGCGTTATAAGTACCTAATGGATATTGTGATACGTTTAATTTGGAATTTATTATCGGAACCTATTATAGGTCAATTTTTTTCATAAAATAAATTTTTTTATACCATAGATAAGTATATTATTATAATATGTCTTATACGTAAACTGACATATACCGTCTCCGCTCAGAATCGTTTTTCTTATACAGTGATAGTTTATCATTGAATTCAAATTTAATTCCATCCATTATACAGTGACCCATTTGTAACCTACTGTACAGCAGCTCACCTTTTTTTGTATTATACCATTGAGTTTACTATATTATAATATAGTACTTATATATAATATTTTAAAAATATACTCAATGGACAATGATAATACTGAAACGGTGTAGTACATAATTGCACCAATAGATCGTGCCACATCATTTAAAATTAAATTTTAAATCATTAATATTATATGATGGAAAAAAAAAACTATGCCTCTAGACGTTGAACTTTGTTTAAATTTTATAAATAAGTAATGACACAATACTCAGTGGCGCAACTATTATTTTGGGGCCCTGATGAAAAGGAATTTCTTGGGCCTTAAAGCTAATAATACCATAGTCATTAGGGTGGTCCTTATTTTTCATTTTTCATTTTTTTGAGATTACCCCCCCTAAAAAGGTTAAGTTACCTGAAAAAACCATACTAATAAAGTTTCATGCAAATTCTTTAATTTTAACCCGTGCCGCAAAAGCTCCAAAGTTACAAAAATAGAACATTTTCAATATTTTAATTTTTTTTTTATATTCTTAAAAATAACTCTGGAAATAAAAATGTTACAAAAAATTTGTTAAGATACAATGATAGAAAACTAAATTTACTAAAATTTGTTTCAAATAGATTAGTTTCCAAATATTTTATTATTATTTTATATATTTTTCAAATATTTTAATCAAAAAATTAAAAAAAAAAAATCTTGAAAATTGAGATATTTCCATCAGCATAACATACAAATAATAGTGAAAACAATTTACAATAAATAATAACATTTATATTTTTAACATATTTTAAATATAAATGATATAACTAAATTTATGACTGTGTAACTTGGGTAAGTGTTTCTTTTCTATGGTCAGGATATTTTTTGTTATAATCTCTAACAACTTGTAGTAGATATTGTTTTTGAGATTCATCTTTGGTTATTTTGTTGTTATAATCTTCTATAATTTTTACTCCTCTTTCTGCAACATCATTTATAACTGCAATATTTTTTAAAATTGACAGAGCTGTATTATAATCTGCATTATTTGCCTACATTAAAGGGTTTTCATTCAAAAAAGTGGTATTGATGGCAAATCGTTTAAAAAGATTTTTAGTGTTGACACATATAAAATCATCAATTTCCTTTTCTAATAACTCGTTTGCATTTTTTGCAAATATAATTAAACGTTGTGCATTTGAATTTAATTCTGATAAACATTCGTCGTTGTTTAGAGCATGAATCATTTTTCTTTTAGTCTCCAGTGGCACAGCCTCATCGAAAAAATCAAATGCGCATAATTCCGCCGATAAATACCATAAGTGACCACAAAACTTTTTAACTGCTATCTGAGATAGATCTTTATCTAAATTATCTATAGAGGCATATTGTAAAAGATTTTTCATAAAAGTCAAGCCTTGTAAAGGAGTTTTGATTGAAGATGGTGAATTAAACCATACTTTTATATATAACCGTACAATAAAAATGCAAATACTTCTTAAGGCACTTTCTTCTTTGGGTGTTAATCGTGTTAATCGAAACTGTTCACGAAATAAATATATTTTCAAGCTATAAATAGCTTTTGCCATCCACCGAGCATGATGGATGGCACCTGGTATTTTAAAGCTAATATCATTTGAAAGTTTCCCGCCCAAAAAATTACTGTTAATTCTAGTAACTCTCGATAATCATCTCTTGGCTGCTTTTCTAATAGTCGATCTTTAGAAAATTTAATAATTTCGTCACATACGCCTTTAAAGAATCCATTACATTACTATTTTGTATGCCAGAATTAAAATTGTTAGGGCTAATTGTTCCCCATGCTTGTTGGAACCTTTTAAAAATTGCAACGTCTGGACCCGATGTTGCACCAAATTTCAAATCGAACACACTTTTCAATATAATTTCATATATATGATGGCTGCATGGTAAATATACTATTTCGCGTTCTAATAGTTGCTCAAGCAAAACACAAGCTCCATTTAAGCGACCTGTATTTGATGCTGTAGTATCGGAACAAAGTGCTTGTACATTTTCATCTAAACACCAATCTACAAGCGTTTGGTATATTGCATTGACTTGTTCAAGTCCAGTTCCACTATTTAACGCCGGGACCCCTAGCAGTTGTTCACGACCATATACAGACGCGATTATAGGCAGCCTATCGACTAAGCCTTTCCCGGTTAAATTTGGAAGAAGTTTTTCGTCCCAGTGTATAACAACTGCGTCTTCCTTACCTAAGTTATAGTTATGACGTATTTGTTCAGCACGTTGCTTGGTATTTTATGCGAGAGCGTCGTATCAATGATCGGTTTACAATAAGTTCATTAACATTATTACCTAAATATTACCATGGAAATAATCGCAAAATACGTGTATAGGTCTAAGTACACTACCCACCTAACGAATCTATAATTATCTCTTGTATCATAGATTAAAACGTGTAGGATCACATGCAAACCATATTATACAATATATATTAATTTTAAGTTAATTTAAATCGCATTATACGATATAAAAAACATTTTATTTATTGCCACGCAAAAAATAGTTAAACATTTTTATTTTTAAAATTTAAACTCAAATATCTTTGAAAATAATATATTTAAAAAAAATGTATAAGTATAAAACTGTTGTAACAATAATAACGTACAATTAATGTCTTTAAAATAATTTTTGTAAAATCATTCTTTTAAGAGTTATGATTAATTATATTCAAAAACTAATGATTTCTAACATTTTTTCGTTATTAAAACTTTAGAGCTTTTGCGGCACGGGTTAAAGTTAACCATTTCGTCTAAAAAATTTTTCTCATGCTTTTTTTAAGTAACTGAACCTATTTGAGGGTGGTAACTTGAACATTTTGCAATTTTTTTTTACTTCATCTATAACGGAGGACCACCCTAATAGTCATAGTAATAATAATTATAGTTTTGTATATTGAATGTGTATAATGTATTAGTAAATAATATTTACTAATAAGCATTTTAAGTTTTTTGTATACACCATATTTTATTAAAATGTCCTCGCTTTTGCTGCAATCAATAATTATTTTTCTGATAAAATTCAAAAATATATATTATTTTATTGTCAGAGTAAAAATTCAGTATTTTATAAAATACCAGGATAATGTACCTAAATAATTATTAAATATAGACTGATAATAATATATAAAATATATGAAGTTAAATTACGGGTTTTCGTATAAATATTACTTAAACAAACTGAATGAAATTTTTTTTTTTAATTGTATATATATATAATATACCTGGTAAGTATTTAATAAAAATTTTAAAAAAAGTTATTTTATTTTATTATTATATACCTATTACAATTTACAACACATTCAAAGCCGAAAGTAACAAACTAACAAAATAATTTGGAAATTCAGGAATGTCAAGATCATACAAATGAAAATGATTATCGAGTGTAGATAATACTGAAGGTACTTATTACATTGATAGTGCATTAAAAACAGGCGACAATTTACGTACTCTGTATTATAGGTAGGTACTAGGTACACTGTTTATTAGTTTTCCTAACAGAAAGACGTAAGAAATAATTATGTTATAATCAATATTTAAACATTTTGTTATTGTTATAATTTATAGACGCCTGCGTAACTAGTACAGTAAACATTTTTTTTAAATATTGAAATAAATAAATACAAATTCGAAATGGCCAATTTCTAAATTTAATTTCAGACAATTCTTTATGGTAAAAACTTTATTTTTATAATTTTTGAAAATTCGATATTTTTTTGGAGTCAATATTAAACTGTGCCGGATCAGCTAGTGATTTATTAGACATTGGATCACTCTGTAGAATATTTATCTAATTTAGTCGTTCCCAAACTGTGAAGTTACAGTTGTTGATTACAGGAAAGAACAATGTCGAATTGTGCGATGTTGCAGTTGATCGGGTTTTGCGCGTGTCCCGCACTGATCCTGGCCGTGCAGCCGAACCCGGGACGGAGCTACTGGAACATGATGCGGGCCGTACTGCGAGCGCTGACCGACCGCGGTCAAGCAGTCACCGTGTTCACGCCGTTCGTGGACGGCGACCGGCACGGCTACACCGAGGTGGACGTGTCCGGGCAAATGAAGGTGCGCGTGGACCTAAACGCCAAGTTCCTGTTCTAGACGTTCGGCACCACGCGGAAGTTGATGACAAACATGATGCGAGGCACGCGGTCGGGATGCGACACGATTTACTACGAACAACGACGCATGGCGGACATCTTGAACGGGATGGAGGCCCGGCGATTCGATCTGGTCGTCACCGAGCGGCTGGCGTCCGAGTGCGTGGCGTACGTGGCCACCGAGCTCCGCGTGCCAGTGCTGTACGTGGTTCTGCCGCCGATCGTAACGTATCCGGAACGTTTGTTGACCGGCTACGCACCGAACCCGGCAGTCGCCGGTCACGTGCTGTCCCGCCGAGGCGTGCCCAAAACGGCCAAAACGTTCGCCAAGCGTCTTGCAAACGCGGCGCTGACGGTGTACTGTTCGATGCTGGTGGTACGCCGAATGGAACCTCCGGCGGGCCGACCCGAGACCGTACGGACCTGGTCAGACCGTCGCTGATTGTCAACAACAAGCACTTTATCACCGAACCGGCTCAGCCGCTCTCGCCGGACGTCGTCCAAATCGGTGGTATACATCTGACCACGCCCAAACAGTTACCGAATGTAATTATTGACAATGGTGGGAGTTGATGCTAATTAAGTGAGAAGTAAAGCTATAATATTTATAGGGGGTTTAGTGCTAACGCATTTACCCCCTCAATTGAGGTATAATAGTATACCACACGAAAAAAAAACCATTAATCTGACGTTGCCATTAGAGTTCATTTATAGTTTTATAATTTAGCAATATACCAAGACGGAAGACGATGTGTTATATATGATATTAATGATAACCAATATAGTTCCTACTCGCATATATACGAAGTTTGATAATTCTTTATCAGTATTTAAATTTTGAAGTTATAAATACTCACTAGGTTTAAAATGTAAAAAAAAAAAATATAAAATATGATTTATAATATTATTATTTTTGGCTACTTGGATATTTTATACGAAAATATGTACACAGGTGCCTACATTGTAAATTGTTTGCATTTCTGATTGTTTAATTAACTGCGTACATTTTTTAAATTTCGAGTGGATACAAAATATGTAGAATATGAAGTATAAAATAAACATTTTTTGATGATTTTAAATCTAGAAAATAAAAAATTCTAATAGCAATAAACCTTACAAAAAAAGTTAGTGTTTACCTTTAAAAAAAAATGCGTACGCAGATCTGGATGTTGTTTTTAGTGAGAAATTTGTTGTCTTGTCTTTCAAGTACGTAACAACACAAACTTATACATTCAGTGTTTAATTTAAAATGTTCATAGCTCAAAAACACACAAAATGTTGTTACCTATCTGCAAGGGTTATAATATTATGTCGATTAACTTTAATATTATAATTTACGAGGTTAGACTTGAACAGTGGGGGACGTAAATTATTTGTTATACGCTCTTATAAGTTCTTTTGATTTCATCATGTTTGTAGAACTATGCAGGTCTTTGACAATTTTTTTTTTTTTTACACTACCGGTTAACAGGACATTTTGGAATTCACCGACGACGCACCCTCACGGGGTGATCTACTTCACATTCGGTTCCGTAGTATCGATGGCATCGTTACCGGAAAACGTACTGAGCTCGTTACGAGAGGCACTCGCTCAGGTTCCACAAAAGGTTTTGTGGAAATACGAAGGCGAAATGGAGGACAAACCGAAGAATGTGATGATTCGAAAATGGTTTCCGCAACGGGTCATACTCAGTAAGTATCCAGATAACCTCTAACCATACATTATACAGTAAAGTCAGATGGAGTAAGAGCCTAATGGGGCTAGTGCCTATAATCGGGTTATAAAAAATACAATTTTTCAATTTTAAAGTTGATTTCATGAAGATTACGAAGTTTAATAGTAATCTAAATTCTAATGGTGTATAATGTTGGTTGCACATTAGGATGTCAAACATAGCAGTTATCACTATTCAAAAAGCTAATCAGTTCTTTACTCGTTTTTTTTTAAATCGAAAATAGTTCAACGGTCTATAGTTAACCCACTGCTCAAAATAATTTCAAATTAGGTAAATAAATTTTATTTTATATTTTTAATATTATTTCATTTATGAATTATGCTAATTGTATGATACAAATGAGTATTAGCCGATTATGCACTTTCCCCGTATAAAGTTCCACACGGGGAATGTGAGACATGTTTTATGCGGAAAGTGCGACATGCCTTATTTTGTTAAATAGTTAAAAAGATTTTATAAACATTGTTTGTGACTAATATATTTATGAGTTACAAATATTCATTATTAAATATGTAAATAGCTGACAATTAAACTTTTAATATGTGTTAAATTATATCAACCAACACTTAAAAAAAACTAATATGTATTAACTATAAATTAAAAAAAAAACCTATGGTCCGTCAAATCTTGATAAAATCAAGTAATTGAATTCTTTCAACGGAATTTCTTTGAAAATTTTCTTTAGTTTATGGCACTTGCCCCGGCCAAGGAA